TACCAGGAGCAAATCTATGTATTGCTTGATACTAACTTGGTTTTAATGCAAGTCTTAATGATGCATTTATTTCATATTTGCAATTAATGTAGAAACAAGTGTTGGTATTCACTGTGCCAGAAAAGGAGCAGAGTGATTTTCTGAGGTCTTCGGCTGGGGAATTTCCACTTAAAAACAGAGAGATGTGTGAGCATAAGTGCGTGTACATTGTTTGTACCTGGTAAATGTATGTGGCAGGGTGTTCTCATGAGCAAAGCTCATAGTAGAACTGTAATGAGATGAGTTGTTTAGGTGTAATTAAAAGATGTGGTGAGAACTTGCATGGAAATCCTTTTCTCTAAGCTTTGGGATCCCTGCTAATAAGACATAAACATTTAGCAGCTCAGCTGGAGTACAGTGTGCTCTTTGGTTAAACATTAAAGGGGCATTGTCAAGTGGCTTTAATTAATTAGCTCGGCTTTAAATGAAATCAAATCAATTTGGAGCAGTTAGGCTCAAAATTAAAGTTGTTTTCACCTGGTGGGAAATGTCCTTCAAATTCTGAACATCTTACAGACAATGAGAATTAAAAATGCCTTTAAGAAATCTCATCCATGTATTTTCTTTTCCCTTTCCTATTTGTGCAGAGAATGGACAGTAGGCTGATGATCTAATGTTACTGTAATTGTCATAATGACAGTACATCGAAATTAAGCCTTTTAGTCTGTGTACATTGCAGCCAGCATTTACTTGACATCTTCTAGATGTGCAGCACCCAGACCCATGCCAAGCCTGGATAATGGAGTCTTGAACATACATTTTTCCTTTTTTATTACAACTTCTCAAGGGGCATTATTGCCCTTGTTGTCACCGTTCACACTAACAAGTAAATAGGAAAGTTGTGGAAATAGGTTAGTTTGCACATCATTAATGTAATTTCTGAGCACAAGGGGATGTAACTTATGTTCAACCCCAATTATCTCTGAGTTTTCTGCCCACTCTTGGCCATGGGACAGAAGCTTCAAGAGTTACAAAATTCTTGGAGGTATTGTGAAAGTCCACAGCTGGAGAGGGAAGGGAGACCAGCCTGAATGATTGCCTGTGCAAGATGGTGCAAGACAAGATCAGGGATGGAGGTGACGGGACAATTCTGTTCTCTGGTCGGTGGAGGAGAGGGTGTCTTCCCAGCCTCCATGCAGGGGCTGCTTTCTATTTTTCTTGCTCTTTTCGGAAAACAAATGCTATTCTTGATATTGACTTTTTAAAAGCAAAAGAATTGAACAAAATGAGAGTGTAGGCACTTCTTATTAGGCTGGCACAATACCATATATTACCTTAGATGCTTTGTGTTAGATTTAGGGGGGAAAAATCAACACAAACTCCCTGTGACACAATAGACCATAACTGCTGGAAGCCGTTATGGGCTATTATGCGAAGCCGTTACAGTCTATTGAGTAAATAATCTACAGATTAAAGCTTTCTAAGTACACAGTAACTTGATAGGTAACCAAAGAAGCCATTACGGTATGTCATGTCAATAAGAGGAGGATTAAAGTCCCTTATGTTTTGTACAGTGACAGGGTCTATCTGCTGTAAACCAGTGTTAAACAAAAGCAATTGCCTTTTTGAAACAAAACAAAAACACACACACACACAAACAAACACACACACACACAAAAAAAAAAAAAAAAAAAAAAAATGAAGTCCAGTTGTGTTCTGGGACTGGGGACTGGCGGGGATTCAGTGCAAGGCAGCTATTAATGCTTTAATGTTTTACAGCCAAGAATGATGGTGCAAACTGGTGGCTGCTCCTAATCTGCAGCACCCTGGGTTCACCCCCTCCTGTGCAGTTTGCAACCAGAGGTATCTGCTACAGAGAAAGGAGTTTGTGGGTGCACAGCCCAGTGCTTCCCCTTTCCCTGTGCCACTCAGGTTCCCCTGGGCATCTCTCCAGCACTGCCATCCCTGGGGCCATGCCTCCTGGCTGTGTCACGTCCAGCATCACACCTCCTTCCAGCATTTAATTACTCTGGATTCCCAGTCTCTCTGGTGTGTTTAATATGAGCTATGTAAATTTCTCCCAAGAATGATAGGATTTTGACAGTCTGATTTGCCTCACAGGCATACTCAAGCCAGCTCATTTTCTCTTCCCTGGAATTTCTGAGTGGTCGGGTGGCATTTGATTATCATTGGTTGGCATATCTGAGCTCTGGGGTTGAGCATAAAGATATTTTAAATTTAATAGGTTTAAGATGTCATTATTTCCATGCTGATGAATTTATACTTGTAACCAGAGAAACTTAGAGCATTTAATGAACTTATTTAGTTCATGGTGCAAGCTTTAAACCCAATCCTGAGTATAAAATTAAATCATGTTGGATAAAAACTAACACCCAGAAGCTAAAACTGAACTGGGTAAATGAATGAATTTCAAAAGACAGAATAAATACAGACATAAGGCACCTAGGGGACAGATTTACGAAGAGTTTTTGCACTGTTTTCAATGGAGCTTGTAATAGCATAAAAGTATTAAATCTGATTTACTAGAAAGGATTTGTACAGTATTTCATTACCTGCTTCCCAGAGCCAGCAGCCCCTTCCCCATCTCTCCCACCTTTAGCAGGAGCTCTGGACACAGCTGAACGTGTGGTGGAGAAAGCTCCGGCTTTGTTGAAAAGTAAACAAGAAACCAGAGAAGGAAGTAACGCAATCCAAGAGGATCAACAACATCGTTCTATGAAAATCAATTCTAATTCTAACCCAGTCAATACAGAGCAGCCCCGCTTCACCAGACGGGAGATGAATGTTGCATTCTTGCCCACGGGATTGTGCTGCCCGCCCTCCCCAGTGTGCTGTGGGTGTTGGTTTGCTGAAGCTGACACAACCACAAGGTAGCTTTGAAGTCTCCTTCCCAGCTCTGTTAGGCCTAGGCTTTTCTGAGTATCTCTAAAACCCTATAAACCTTCAGAAATCGTGCAAAGAAGGTAGCACCTTTTTTGGTAACAAGGGGGGAATGCAGTATTCCCCATAAAGAGCTGTCCACAGCACGAGCGGTCATGAGACACAGGCCAGGTTTGAAAATACCTTAAGACACCTTTTCTATTTGAAACAATTAGAAAGCCCAGGTGATGAGGAGCAACTCTTGATTTATACCTTAGGACCTCACTGAAGATGTAACCAGAAATGAGCTGTTCCTTAGCAGTGACTATTCTTATCAAATTCAGCATCCTTATGGAAGAACATCCTGGAAACGCTGTATTTCATATTAAAAGAATGTAAGAAGAAATTGGAAGAAATATTAAATTAAAAAACATATATTGCCTCAATGTTATCTGCAAACAGCTATTGCTCATTTGATGCTTACCAAAATCATGCAAATGCACCAGAAATCAGGCCAGCAGGATGACAGTGGATGATGTATATTAGAACTAGAGATCTATTTTATGTGTCCAAAGAGTTTCTAAAATAGTCACAAAGTGGACTTGACAGGACTAGGCTCTCACAAGACTGACCTTCTCCTGGACTGATAAAAGGTATGAGACAAGGACTAGGAATCAAGTCCTCGATCTATTTTTACAATGGATAGAAATTTCAGTAGAAATCTTGCATGTATCTGGGCTGAACACTGCCCAAAAAAGAAAGGAACCAGAAAAAGGGATGAGTGAGTGGTGAGGTGGCAAAGTTTGCAGGTGACACAGATTTGTGCAGGGTAGCCAGACCTACAGCAGTGGTTTGCAGAATGATTTACAGAAATAAGTGGCTGTATGATATAAACTGGCAGGTGAAATTCAGCACTGATAAGTGCAAATTAATGCCCCTGTTAAAACAGGTCTACCTACATATACAGAATGATGGGCTTTAAATTAGCACTTACCTTTGACAGAAAGATGTTCTGGCACCTTTGCAGCTGCTCCAAGTGTTGGCACCATTCTCATAGCCATGGGGAGAGTGAAGAAAGGCTCTGAGAACAAGAAGCATTGCTATGCCAGCGCTAAATCCCCACACCTCAAATCCTGCCTGCAGGTCTGATTGCCCCTTGCAGAAATACCATAGGAGAACAACAGAGGGTGTGGAGAAGGCAAAAGAGATTGTTAGACGTAAGGGCTGGCCTCTGCAGAAGAAAAAGCTAAATAAGTTTAGGGCTTTTACCTGCAAAGGACAAGACTGAAGGGGAAAAAGGTAGAGGTCTGGGCCATCATGAGTGATGTGAAGGTGAATAGGGACAAGTTATGCTTGTAATGTAAGAGGAAAAGCACTAAACTCCTAATTTGGGAAGAATAGGGTTTGTTTGATTTATTTATTTTAAAGCACAACGTTCAGCAGTATTGCTGAATGATCAGCCGCCAATAGAGCAGGTCAACAATTTTCCAGCAGAATAGTTTTCTGAGCCCCTTTCTGTTGGAAAATGTTGATTCAATGGTATCAAGATGCTCTGTGGGAACACGTCAATGCCATCAAAGCCATCAGCAGAAGCCAGACATCTGCCCAGCCTCCTTGCCTGCTGCCCAGCTGGCTGTCTCGCTGGGACAGCTGGGCTACCATGCTGCAGCCAGCAGCCTGTTTGATTTTTCTTTACTTTGTTGTTAGTCTATTTGTATTACATTTTCCCTTCATTTTAACCTTTATATTTTATATTCAATATACTTGCAGCTCTAGAAAATACTCCATTACCTATCACAATATCAAGTGTCAAATCAAAGTAACAGTAAGCCAATGAGTATAATTTATATTATAATTTAAATGAGTTTTTAAACCTGCATTTTAAGATATAAAAATAAACAAATGTAAAAAGTATGTGCAGTAAGAAGTAGGTACATTTTTATTTGCATATCATATCAACCATTAATATAAAGTTATATTTTATGTTGTATAAAGCTTGAGTCTGTGAAGACAAAATAAAAACTATACTTGAATCTCTTTCTAACTTATTGGGCTAAATGACAATGGCAGAATGCAATTTCAGAATTTCATTCGATGGGCAATTTCAGTGTTTTGATGTGTTTTGTTGCTTCATTTTGCAGATGTTTCCATAAAGAGCAGAAAAGTTGGATTGAATGTTCTCTCTGTTTAAATGAAAATAACTATTCTTAACCTGAACCAAGGCCAATGTATCGTGCAACATGGATGAGTCAGGTTTTAAAGGTAGGTGGAAAATCAACAGTATTGGGGGTAAAATGAGCAAGCAAACCACTTCTGTAGTTGATACAGCACTGGAAACAGCACCTAACTATGTTAAAAACTCATCTTTGTAATCTGATGTGGGAAGAAATCAGAAAAAATAGATAGCTTTGTGACCTGCTGGGATGATTTCCAGTGTTTTTGTTTTGCCTGCAACAACTAGCACCTAAAACAGAACAGAAACCTACAACTAGATGAATATTGCTCATGCTATGGATGAGGTTGTCACTGGCTGCAGGTGGTACCAGTTCCTGTGAGATAACCAGCCCTTGCTCGTCACTAGATAAGCAACCCTTTGCAATTCACAGCATGCCTATTTTGATTTGAAAGGTTTTAAAGTCGGGTCCATGCAGTCATGTGGATGATTTGCAGGGCTGATTTGAAGGTTGTTTTCCTAGCAAGCTGGTGGTGCAGGAGCAAATTAGCGCAATTCCCGGTGCATGATGAGCTGCGGGAGGGTCTCTACAGGGCATCACTTTGCCATCATGGCCACCTCAGACAAAAAGAAAAGTTCAAGTGAAAGAAAAATATTTTCTTCAGCAGTTTCTGCAATCCCTCTGATGCCTGGAGTGGTGCAGGATGAGTCCAGCACATAACATCTATGAGGCTCCTCTGTGCTCTCAGGGTGTTCATGTGGAGCCAGTGAAGGAGTTGGAGTTGCAAGTCATGCATGGTAAGTCACAAAGGAATCACTCCCCAACATCACCCCTAAATCTAAAGGGTTTACTGCCATCACTTCTCTCTTTCTGGGGTGATTATTTTCAATAATTTTGAAAACTCGGCTGAGATAACTTCAGCACAGGGAACTGCTGCACCACAGGCCACCATTAGCAATTAAAATTAGGTAAACAATTAGCCTGTGAACTTGGCACTCAAATCACTGCTGCCTCAACAGCCTCCACAGGAGCCACCTGAAGCCGCTGTAGGGCTCAGCTGCCCACCATTCCTGGGGTCAGAGCAGTGCTGGCAGGCTGGGATGTAGTGGGGATGCCCAGAGGAGGTGCCAGCACCAGCAAGGGGACTCCAGGGTATATACTGTTATTTATTACACTTTCATTTTCTTTTTCTTCCTCACTTCTTCATCAGGGCACTGGAGGGAATAGGAACATGCTATCTAATTTCCTAATTTTCCTGTCAGCTTTCTGGCTTTCAAAATGATTGCAGCAGAAATCTATAAAATGAGGACGAGGGAAGCAAACTTAATACCATTGTAAATCTCCAAAATGGATGCAGAAACACAGTACTCAAATAGAAGTAAATAAAAGCAAGGAGAGATTCATTCTGGTTTTCTTCTCTGTAAACCTACTGGCAGCTTGGAATTATTCAGAAAACAACATTTAACTGAGAAAAAGGGAACCCTGTAAAATAGTAAAGATTATACCGTAAAGCTAAGCACCCTCCATAAATCATAGCTGGGAACATTGCTAAGTTATAGGAACCTGCAGATGGCTGTCATTAAAGGGAAAGAGCCTCTCCCAGCTTGGCGGGCCACACCGTACCATGCTGTATGGCTGCAAATCGAACTGCTTTCATGGGGGAGCCACAAAAGTGGTTTTAAAATAGGAATTTCAAACAGAAGCTGCATGAGCTGTTCAGCAGGACTCAGGCTTATCATGAAACCACAGTGGTAATTTCAGGCCTGATTTACAGGAGAGCCTAATAAGCCTCTCCCATTTAAAATAATACGGCAGTAGTTTATTGTAGTGTTGTCTGAAGCTGGAAGAGCAGTAGTGGGGCTGGGTGCTCTGGTAGCAAGCGTGTGCCTAGCATTGTCCCCATTTCAAACAGGGACAAAGGGGGGAGGGCTGCTGAATGGGGTGTGGGAGAGGTCAGGGCAGACCAGCAAGCTCCTTCTCTACTCTACTTTCCTGTGTGTTCACCTCCCGTATCACTGCTTTATCCTTTGGGATGAACGCATCTGGGGCTTCGACTCAAGAAACAGCAGGGGAGATGCTCAAAACAAGCCTGTGAAGCTGAAAATAGCACACCTCAGTTGCTGCTGCTTTCAGGATGTCACCAGGTGAGCTCCTCTTGGATTATATGTTAAGCCACACCATGATGTAGCACCATGACACATATAGCCCCCCATGGTATGGTGCCCTCTATTAAGCTGAGCATTGAAGGTATGTGGGGATGTCCATGCCAGCACTTGCAGTGTGTGGAGCACTGGGGTTGTCGCGTTAAAGGGGTGTAGCTGATTAACCGTTACGGGCCCGGTTGGATTCAGAGTACTGAATCAGTCGGACATTCACCAAAACTGGGGTCCATTCGGACATTCACCAAAAACATAATAACTGCCTGGGGGTCCGCTCAGACATTCACCAAAAACGTATTAACCACCTGGGGGTCCGTTCAGACATTCACCAACAATGCATCAACCGTCTGGGGGTCTGGTTAGATTCAGAACACTGAACTATCACGGATAACCACCCTCACCCTAGTTGCATTAATGAGAGCTATCACAATGCAATCAAGTATGGTTTATTACAGCAACAGATAATCAGGTTCTTTTGGATTGCCGGTGATAGTGACTATCTGCAAAAGCAAGCTAGTATGCATGAAATACACAGGTGTTATAGGTGTTACAGATGTTATACAGGTGTTATAGGTGTTGTAGATGTTACAGATGTTATAGATGTTATAGGTGTTATAGGTGTTACAGGTGCACAGCCTAGAAATAAACGCGTTAAAAGGATCAAAGACTCTATAGAGATTTATAAGCAAATATTCAGATCTCACCCAAAGGCGTCCCAATTGGGGGGGGGAAGAGAGGCTCAGCCCGTCGACTGATCCCAGGAGTCAGGAGGTCCTAAGGATGTTGTATGTCCTCGGGATGGTATCTTCCCTAACATCCCCTCTCTCTTGGGCCAATTTATATTATTTTCTATCTTTTAGGTGGAGCTTGAGTGGCTCTAGTCAAGCATATCTTAGTTATGATTGGTGTAAAGTTTTCCCGTCTCCGTTTAAAGTAATAGACTCCGAGAAATTCAGAGCGCATGCTCAGTGAGGGGTGGTCGCACCTTGGAGGCGGGTAGCTTTTGGGATGGAGGTGTGTTTTGGTATTATAATGATATTATAATGAGCAAAAAGTACACTAGGGTACAGCATTTGTCAAAACATGACAGGTCTTTGGCTTAGGGTGGCAAAAAGTGCAGCTTTGTGCACAAGAACAATCGAGGCCCCACCTGATTACAGAGCCTAGCCGTGGTGTCTCCACTCCACTCTACGCTCCGTGGTGTTCCTTAGAGCTAGCACACCAAGTTTCCCCAGCGCGATAGCATCTAAGGTTGGGAGCCTAGGGAATGCTCAGATAATGCAGTTATGCCCTACCCTGAAAGCCTCTTCAATGCTGTACCTTTTCCTTAAAAGTGTGAATGTTAGTTTTATTTTCCTAGTTACTTCAGGCATTTACACCACAGGGGTGAGCCAGGGCTGCGGCAGGAAGATATGGATCACACCATGCACCCTTTTCCAAGAGCCTCTGTAGAGGTTTACCCCTACATATTGCCCTGAGATACAAGCTCTCCCTGGGGTGCCTCTGCACCAGGTGATTCAGATGGAGCTCTGGCAGTCACAGCACCCAAGGGTTGTAACCAGACCTCTGCAAACCCGCCTTTGTTCTCAGCTTGGAAACACTTTGCCCCACTCAGCCATGCCTGCCAAGTACATGGTTGTTCAAGGTCACTGTTTCTAATATTGTCAGGAACCTTTCCTGATATGAAATGGCACAGCAGCTGATTGCATCGACTTTATAAACATTTTTTGCAAACTCCCGCTACCCCACCCCAACCTTCCTATGCCTATTGCCCTGTTTTCGCATTTCCACAGTGCTTATACCTGCCAGTGCAGATTTGCCAGGCTCACTGCTCGCCAGGTCAGGGGATTTCCCAAGCACTGACCAGGTTCCTTCAACTGCTGTACTCTCAATGCTTTCTAAAAACATGGCCAGGAGGAACTGGATCTCATAGTATTTTTCTTCTCTGTCTTTGGGTGAACTCAACTGCTCACTGCACCTTCAACAACAATGTTTAGCTTCTTGTCACAACCCCCTTCTGTGCTTTGATAGAAAAGGGATCACCAGCAGATGCAATTTCTTTCAGTGCTGGAATTGTGTTTATTTTACTAGAATTGTACTCCATTTATCTGGTTGCAAAGGGACTAGGCAATTTATATTGGCAGTACTGAATGTACTGAGACTGGCAGTGGTCGGGCACTCACGGCTTGTTACCCAAGGAAAGTTCAGAGCATACTAATTTATCCCACCACGGAGCAGCAGTAGAAGAAATGTACAATTGATATCAATCAGTCTTACATTGGTAACACTGTAAACATTTTTTCAGATGGTAAAAGATCCAATAAATCTATTTTATTCTGTTTCATTGTAAGGTCCAGTTCCTCCTTTCCATCATACAAACAACTTCCAGGTAATGGAAGGGATATTGCATTCCCTATTCACAAATCACAGTTTGACCTATTATTTGTAATTTTCAGTGCTTGCCTTCTTGTGTGGTGTTCATAAAATGAGATTAGAGTGATTTACAATAGTGAAAGATGGAACAAGACTCAGAGGAGATGTGACTCCTTAGACATCATCCTGTGACTGTTGGAAGGAACCTGCATCACTCAGGAAGGTATGCTGTGATTTTCCAGGGCAGTCTGGGGGATTTAGACCTACCCTTGAGGTGTTTCAGTACCAAAGCATCTGTGTTCCACCTGAAAACATGACCTACCGTCCCTGATTTTATCTTTTGTGAAACAGCCAAGCAATTCAGAACAAAGGCTCCCCCTTCCTGACCATCTAAGTCTACTTTATGATATTGCTCTAAAAAGGTTATCTTGAAAATGTGTGAAATTTTAAAAAGAAAAAAACAAACAAAAAAAACCCACATGATACTTTTATTTGAATTAAATATGGAGGAATTATACTTTGGTTGTAATTTATAGTGCTTCAGAATTATCAGTATTAGTTATGGCTAGAGAGTCTGGCTCTTGTTGTGCTTGGGACTTAAAGAACTTGCTTCCCTGGTCTACAAACCAAAAATACATTCATCTGTTCTGTTAACAGGCATGAGTTAGGCTTCTCTGAGCAAATGAAAAAGAAATAGGAAGAACACCTGAGGGGTTATTTTATTGAGCAAAGAAATGAACTCCAGAAGAAGCTGTTTCACTGTTTGGATTCATTCATGGTACTGAGAACCGGTGAGTGGATTCCTGCGTGGACATTTGGAGGTTGGTAGTAACCTTTCTGTTTTAGTGTCTCTTGCTTCTTGGTTTTCCGTTCTTGAGCATCCACATATTTCTGTCAAACTGTTTACTGCATCCCCCTAAAAAAAAAAAAAAAAAAAAAAAGATAATTGCTTCTCTAGAAGCAGTGCTTGCCTTTGCTCTCTCTGAGCAGACAGGATCCGTAACAAATGACTCACGTGCAGTAATTACACTCTATTCCTTCCTATCCTGCATTGATTATTCAGATGTGGGAAGACTAGCTCTATCTTGAATAAAATAAAAAATCTGGAGACCCAAATATCGAAACACTGTTTTGTTGGTGGTGTGGATTTTTTCCCCTCCTTTGTTTTTCAGGTACTGTTTACAGCCATGGTATAGTGAAAAGATGAAACATTTATAAACAAAACCTCCTGTCAGACTGCTTGTAGTTTATGTTTGTTTAAAGGACAATTTTGTGTCACCTCTTTGTATTTTAATAGTCAAAATAAATTTTGCATAATAATTCAACTCCTCTCTGCTGCCTGTAATGACTTTCTGCATTTTTCTGATGGATGTTTGTATTTGTTTCCTATGATTTACATGACCTGACGTCTCATACAATGAGCTTCCCAGCGCAAATGCCATTTGTGATACTCTGTGCAGCACTAATCTATCATTAGATGACCTTACAAGAGCTGGGGTCATGGATTCAATCAGTAAAATGTTTCAGGGTGTAATTAATTAATCCCCCCCCCCAACTGTTCGCTTAAAACTTGATGAAAACGATGCTTTTTCGTAACATTTCTTCAATACATAGGGTTTGTTTGTATAATCAATCACGCTAAGTTGGGGAGTTCTTAGTATTCATGGCTTTGTCTTTCTTGGAACTTCCAAATGTTTATTTTCCAGCATAATTTAATGGTTTAATTAGCCAAACAACTAGCTACTGTACTTGTGAAAGTATATTCAGGTTGTGATTTAATAACTTGGGGACAGCTGTGTTTTTGCCTTTGCTGGGCTGGATTGTGTTATGTGGGCTGCGGAGCTGGTCCAGCTGCGAGTGGGACTTCCCAGCTGGCTGTGCCCCCATCAGCCTCGCATGATGCTGAGCCATGCTGGACTGTTGCAAAGATAACAGGTCTGCTTGTTCCCCACTGTAAATTTCTTATCAAACAAACGAAAATCCATAGTCTTCACCTTTAGCATCCTTTGCTTGTGGCTGTATAGTTTAAAAGATAATGCAAATGTCAGCAGCAAGGGCTGTGGATGAAGATTTTCAAGCTGTGGTTCAGACCACCCTCTGGAGGTCTATGGTTTATTACCAGCAGTAATTAATTTCCCCTTCCTAGAATTTACATCTTCAACAGAGAGAACCCTGGGACCTGCACACTGGAGAGCACTGACAACCACTGCACAGCACCTGGTACAGTTGTCCTAAAGGCTGTCTGTCCTGGCAGCCCAGCTTTCTGGAGAGCATCTCCAAAGTAAGGGCAGGAACTTCCTGGTACCCAAAAAACATCACAAACCTCAGCTCTCCCCTCCTGGCAAAAAGACTTATTTGACTCCTGATCTTACTGAAGCAAAATGTTTCACTTCTTGCAGAGTTCTCACCCTGGAGATGGGAAATGAGAAGGGAAAAAAAGGAAGAAAGAATTATAATTTTGCTGCTTTCTGGAACACTATTTCACGATATGTCAGCATGAGGTGTTGTCTGAAAGACTGTATTATATAGGTGAGCCACCTATGTCCCCAGTCCTGACATATGTTATAAAAGATGGGGCATTTTATCTCTCTGACTCTACGCTGTGTTGTGCACATTTTTTTTAGTAACAGAAGCAGGTGTATTTTTGTGTGCATTCAGCCATCTTTACACCTAATAATGTGAATATCCAACTTACAAATGGCTCTGGACCCATCCTACAAAACTCTGTTGGGAGAAGGAGATGAGGTCTTTGCCAGCATCACTCAGGAGCAAGCCGCTGAGGCAGCTTGTAAGGAGCCGAAAGCCCTCAGCAGCTTTGCAATGAATTCCCTGAGATGATGTTATTATGTTAACAAGTTTTCTCTTATCCTGTCAAGGTCTTAGAGAATCTTTCTATTGACCATTAAGGCAAAGCAAGACAAAACAAGCTGAAATTGAGAATTGAATGTTTATGGATAGGAATCCTGTAATGTTATGATTCAATTTCACTTCAGCTAAAGATGATTGTTTCTGCAATCTAGCTGTTTGGCTCACTGAAACCAAGGAAAAAAACTCAGAGGGAAGGCTAAGATCTGGGGAAAAAAATGAAGGAAACTGGGAGAATATTCCAAATCCACCAGATTAATTGAGCGTGGAAAAGGCATAGATATGTGTTTAAGGGACAGCAGCCCTTTAGTGCAGGACAGTGGAGATCAGAAATAATGCTTGTGGTGGCTCCATGAGGTTTGTGGCTTTTGTAAAGGGCATCTTGTAAGACAAAAAGCTGTTTAGAGTGAGGACTTAAACTGGGGCTGGGAACACATTAGATGGGACTGGGCTGCTAACAACCTACTTGCTGCTGCCCATTTGCAGGCCGTATCCCAGAAGGGCTCAAGTAGGAGGAGGATTTGGGAAGAAGGTGCAGTGGGGACAGAGGTTGGGAGGTGATTCCCTGACATAGCTTCAGTCACTGCTCAATGACTTGCTAGAAGGATCTTTCTTGCAAATGATGTTTTATTTCCACCATCTTGAATACACTGTGGGTGGTAAATCACAATGACACTTGTTAGGAATCATGGACTGATGTGAGGTAGTGTAGCAATGTGTTTTGCTCAGTCTGTAACCATTACTATGATGGAAAACAGGCAGAGAATGCAGCAGTCCAATGTGCTTAGGGGTAGTATCTTAGACCCATCAAGCTCCACAGTGCAGCCCAAGTCTATAATATGTGTGTAGTCATTTGCAGAATTAAGTCTAAATATATTATATCACTGGGAATTGGCTGTATCCAGAATAAAACATGGTCAATATATTGAGACTGATACTTCTGTTCTAGTATAAGTTCTGCTATATAGATTATAGCTATTGTTATAGCAGGGGAATCTCTGTTGTTGTACAGACTTCTTGCAGTGGTATTTGAGTTGTGTAGATTCTGGGTTTTCTTTTGAAATGTTAGAGGTCAGGAACAACTAGTCCCAGCTAAGAACTAATTGCCTGAAGCATAATTTCTCTATAGTGAGAGTATGGAAGTAGCATCTGAAAGTACAAAAAAAGTCACTGTGCTTTTTTGCTCTATCAGCAGACTTTAATGAAATTTTGAAGGGGGAAAAATTGCTTCTTGGCTTAAAGCATGAGCTATGTTATTAATCTCTGCAAAGGAGTTTTATAATTGAAATGCCTATGGAACAGCAGCTCTACTGGCTCAAATGATGGCCTAACAGTATCTAGCATAGGCATATATGAGGTTGCATAATGCTATGTCATGATCATAAGAGTTACCAATAATGCAGGCATATTGAAAAATATGACTTACACTCTTAGCTGAATTTAGTTCCTTTGAAGTTTGTTTTTTTTTTTTTTTTTTTTTCCCCTCATCCTTATGGCACCTAGTGTCTGCGTGATATTGTAGACTGTCCCTCAAGGTCACATATACTGCTTTTCTTTGGTAGGTTATTGGGGCATGCTGGCTGTCTTTGGCGGGTTATTGGTATGGATTGCACTACCTATTGGTAAAATAGCATTTCCCTGTGCTATCATTTTTATTAGGAGTTTTAAAAAACAAAAGTGATTAGTATGCTTGTACTGACAGGGTCTGTGGTCTCAAAACAGTAGCTGGCCATTAAGAAAGAGGTCTTCTGCATACCGTTCCTTACCCTCAAACTCTCAGGCAAACCGTGCATTTGAAAGACAGTTTCTTGGCCAGGTTAGCTTATGGGTCTCTTGGCTAAGCCAAAAGCTTAGCTTTTCCCAGCACATCCTTGTCTGCATATCTTATTTTGGGTTTTTGCTCTAGTTCACTGTTTTTGCTCTAGTTTGTGCAGCCCTAAGGATACTATGACCTCGCAGGGCTGGCACGCTCGGGGAGACCTGCTCAGATCTGCTCTCTGAAATGCAGACATCTGATGGTAATTTTTATTCAGATTTCTCTGCGTTTTCCTCTTCTTAAGGTTTCAAAAAAACTGTGAAGAAAGCAAGACATATAAATTACTAGTCTCAGCCTGTGCCTTTCTGTGTGTGTTTCTGATTAATACACGCCAACATGCCTTCATTATCGCCCTGTTTTGTACCTACCCGTCAGATATGTAAAGCAACGCTGATATCAGAAAATCTCATCTTCTGCTTCCCTTTGTTTGAAAGTAGGTGAATGTGCAAATGAGCTGGGAGGGAAAAAAATAATAAAGACTGTGAGAAATAGCTTTGGCTTTTTTTTAAATAACAATTTCCTTCCCTAAACTGGAATGCAAATGTTTAAGTGGACAAGAAATGCAGTGTGTGCTCTCTCTGTATCATCTTTTTCATCCAGGCATTGGGGAAACTTCATAAGGATGGGCGGGGAAAAGGGCATAGGGACAGAGTTCCTGGCCAGCAAAGGAGGACATGGGCAGCGGGGCTGGAACTGCTGCCTCCCAGCCCTGCAGGAACACCAGCCAGGTCAGATTTCTGCCTCAGCTATTTAGGCTTTGCATTTCTTCTTAAAGTGCATGTTTCACTTGCCAAGCAGATGTTGCTCCAATTGCCTGTCTGACTCGAGGGCACCAGCTTTTAAATGGGCCCCAGCAGAGCCGCCTGTTTTGGCTCTGGGTGGCTGAGAGCTCAGGGGTGCCCCAAGAGCAGTGCTCAGCACAGCACCAGTGAATCTGGGGCTGTATGGCTGGGCAATTTGGATGGGTTTGATATTTTGCTTATATAACCACAGCCATTTCATGAAAAAAATGTGTATCTGCAGGGAGGTCACCCTCATAACCAACTTTCTAGGGACTCTGGAAAAAAAGTGTTCAGTGGGAGCGAGCAGCACAGGGGAACCAGACCTTTCCTGGTGCCTCAGACCAGCCCCACTCTGGTTTCCCCACAGAAAACCTCACTCTGAAGTCTTTATGGGTGCCCAAAAAGCTTTTCCTTAAAGATATTGAGGAGACATCAGTGCCACAAAGAACTACATAGAGCTGCTGTCTCTTGATCCTGAGAGCTTGAGAA